ATATTTGTGTGTATACAACAACAAATTATATTTTGTTTTATATTGCAAATTATGGTAAACCTGATAGAGATTCCACCTACCTCCTTCTTGCTCAAATTCGATGAGTACTTTTCCCGGTTGAACTAACTCATGATGTATTATTACACTTGCACTTCCAGAACACCTTTTATTTTCAAAGTACATCAAAACCGTTTGTAATTGGAGCTTACCAAAGCATACTTCCAACAACTCCGATTCTTTATCATCCTCATCTTTCAAGTGGTACATTGTGGCATTAAATGGATCTTCAACATCATAATGATCCTGTCGTTGTTGGTTGCTGGGTGCGAGTCTGTGAAGTGGCAGTTGGTGGCAATCATTACCATTATTCCATTTGGAAGACGTCGGCGTCTGACTGCTATCAGACAATTCACGATCAGTATTTTGTGATGTTCGACATTGCTGCTGTTGGTTGCCAAGTCTTGGATCATTTTCTTCCGTAAGCATACATACATCCTGATCCTAAATAATGCAAATGTGCAAACGTTAAACATAATGTTTGCCATTGCCATTCTAGGACTATATCTGCTATCTGAAGTTGACTAAAGTAATAACACACGGTTATTCTACAGCATGAATATTCATTTCCTGAACCAAGCTTGGGCATTTGTATTTCTAATTAGCTGATATGCTACGACGCTAGTGTATCACTATTGTTTTTCTTAAGATTTTTCTTCCTTTATTTCTTTTCTTTTTATTCTTTCTCCACTTTTTTTCGCAGCTTTGCTCAAAAACGGCACAGGCTCTATCCTTGCTACTTGACCGGCATAGTATAGACCTACATCTGAAGTTGTGCATGTGAATGTTTGGGTAAGGTAACAGTAACGCGACCATTTTTTTATATTTGATGATTGGTCATAAATTCCTCACCAATAGACATTTTCAATGAAACTTGACAAGTATACATCTTATCATAGGCAATCTTATCAAGAGTCAAATTCGTGGGCCATTACAGTTCGCACACGTGTCATGACGCATGCATACGCGTGTTTTAAAATTTTAAAATGCTCAAAATTGTGTTTTGAGTAAATTAAAGCGCATTTCAGGTCATTTTGCGAATTTCAAAATTGTCCGTGCCGTATGAAAGCTAAAAATATACTTTTTTTTTTGACATATTTTGGATTCCTGACACTGTATTCAAGAAAAACACTTCATTATTTTCCAGTCATTTTAGGGCCAATAAAAATCCCGCTCAAGCGCATCAAACATACAGATCCGTGTGCGCCTTTGTGTCAACATCATGCCTATTTTTTATCATTAGCTCCTCAGGATGAACAGCAGACCCCAATTTTTTTTTATTACATATTCTGTAAGCACATTAGTGTACAGTAGATATGATTTTATAGAACATTATGGCTGATCGGACATTGTGACGTCATCATATCTGAAATTCTATGATTGATCATAAATTCATTGCCAACAGGCATTTTTCAATGAAGCTTAACACAAATATCAAGGGTCAACTTCGTGTGGCAACTGTCCACACGCGCCATGACATGCGCGTACGCCCGTGCGTTCAAATTTTAAAATGCTAAAAATCAATTTTTGACTAATTCAGAGCATGTTTCAGGCCATTTTGCTAATTTCAAAATTTTCCACGCCACGCACACATTTGTACCTGAACAACAAAGACACTAGAAACACAAGATAGAGTTCTCAACAAAAAAAAAACAAAAAAAAAATTGTTCCACCGAAATGCATGGTGGAAATACAAACAATGGGGTGCCGCGTACGACTGGATCTAAACAAGCTCTACCACCGTTCCATAACTGTGAATAACCTCCTTTTGCGGAGGTTGAAATCATTGCCATTATCCATAAGATACAAACAAGTAGGTATAAATAAATCAAAACAATAAAATGACAGACAGAAAAGCACAGATTCGTATGACTGGACTCTGATTAGTGATAAAGTTCTCTTCCAGTGGAAAAGAAGGGCGCCGCCTGCGTCTGGTATACCTAGCCTAGCAACAGAAGTACGTCTGGACCATAGCTCTATGGTCTGGACGCGAATTTTTTTTCCGTACGAAACATTTACATGAAACTCCACTCGGGCCGTCTCAGCTGAATCGACCCGAAAATCTCATTGCAGAATTCAGGAGGTCAAAAGGTCATCAACAGATAAACGTCTACAGAACAACTTCTGAGAGTCGCTGTCTGATTTTTAAAAATACATTGATGTTACCATGTTAATACCAATGGGTCATTTAAACTGACATATAATATTTGATTAAGCTGCACGAGTAATGAAAAGTGTTATTTTAACTTGAGTTACATATTATGACAATTTTAATTTTTTAGTTAGGCCTGGGTTTTACATAATTACTAGGCCTAGCTACTAAAAACGCTTTCTGGGAAAAGCACAAAGAGTAAGGAAAAGCGCGTTTTTCTTCATCACTGATCAAATGAAACAGAATGACAGTTATTTTCAAATTAAGAGAAGAGCTGAGAATAGGCAGCTCTAAAATACTGGATGCCATAAGACCTGCCAAAATGGCAGAGCACCAAATGAATGTAAAAATGAGCTAGTTATTAATATTAGGCATAGTAATCGGCAGGTTCTTGATTACAAGGCTAGCCAAGTTAATTACATGTAATGACGAAATGATAATAATAATAATAATAATAATTTTAATTATTATTATTATTATTATTATTACCTGTACGTTAAGGGGAACTTAGACAAAGGGGAAATAACACAAAAGATATTCCCCTTGGGCTAGTTATTATTTATAGGCCTTGAAATAGTATCTGTAGGTTCTTCATTACACATTACAAGTAGGCCAAGGTAATTAATGCTGAAATGATTATTATTATTATTTATTAATTATTATTATTACCTGTACCTTAAGGGGAACTTAGACAATGGAGGAATTAGAGGACAATTAAAAAAACGATGTTAAGGGGAAATAACACAAGATATTCGATCCCTTGGACGATTATTATTTATAGGCCTAGTAAATGGTACAATATCTGTAGGTTCTTCATTACAAGGCTTAGGCCAAAGGTAATTAATGCTGAAATTATTATTATTATTATTATTATTATTATTATTATTATTATTATTATTATTAATATTATTTAACATTAATTACATTACAATTATAGTTTGGACAAGTTCAATAACGCCGGAATGGTATATTATTTATTTAATATTTCTCTTATGCGCTCTATTTTTCATTTCATGCTTCAATTTTGTCCCATTTTCCCCCAAAATTTCTGTCCATGTCAGTATGTGAAGCGTGACTGTTGTGTCAGCCTACGGACCCTAGGCCTAGTTTAAAGAGGGGCCTATAGTAAGACCTCAGCCTGTAGTTAGGCCTATAGTTTATCCTCTTTCTCTCTAGCCTTTGGTATAACTGTACCTATCTACACTTTATAACAGGAGGTACTAGCTGTTGTTGTTGTAGATAATATACTAACATTTAATAACATCCAAGGTCACAGTTAGTTACACAGTGACGTACATCACATAAGTCCGTGAAATTTCATAGGCTTACCGTAGGTAAACATAGAAAGAGCAATAATAGTAAAACTCGAGCGTCACGACATTGTGCGAAGTGTCTGCTCTTGTTCCTCGTATCGTACTCTATGGCGGTTCAACTGTGTCATAATTACTACGCGTAGTACGCGTACTACGCGTAGTACACATACTACGCGTACTACGCGTACTACACGTACTACGCGTACTACACGTACTACGCGTACTACACGTAGTACGCGTACTACACATACTACACGTACTACGCGTAGTAATTATGACACAGTTGTACCACTCGCGGTAAAATTGTGTCAAAACACCACGTGTTAGCATCATGACCATCGTAAACCAATTAGTTGTATAGCGCCACCAATTTACTGTACGTATAACGTCTAATATCTACTGAACTGCATCTAACATTATTTATAATTATTTATTTTGGAAATTACACCTTTACATTGATGGAACACATAGGAGTGGTGCATCTATATGAGGGCTATAATCTATAAAAGGCAAATTGGGGTTTGTGTGTCCGGGATGTTCTCCTTTGTTACTGAGCCGATTTCAACCAATTTTCACTGAATTTTCACATTTGAAAAATTCTTGATCAGCCCCTGCTGTATGTTGAAATGTTTAAGAAACAAATACATTAAAAATACTTTCATGCCCACCCAAATAATAAAACGATGATTATTGAATAAACACAGGCTTGATCTGTAATGTACAAATATTTCCGTTTATTGTTTTAATGCTTCCATTAATTAATTTCTGCTAATAAGAATTATGATGATGATTTCTCTCAATTCTTTAATGACATTGATTCAGCTAACGAGAATGATGATGATGACGACGACGACAGCTACGAACACAGACGTTCAGTTTTGATTTCAGTTCCACCATAACATCAACGATGACAACTAGAGCACTAGTAAAACTTTATTTATTCACGAAGCACAAATCCAAATATAATGCTATTTTTTATTGTGGTCGTGAGATAGCCGTACCTTACTTACAATTAACATAGATTACACAGTACGGTACATAATCAGAAAGCAAAAGTTAAACACACAAATTAAATAATGTAGATAGAAAGTCAACAATTTAGTAAAATAAAAGTAATCTATACCTAACAAATGGCAAAAATAAATTATCGAAATGAAGAAAATCCACTCCACAAAAAGTGTGAAAAAAACCAATTATGTGTGAATGGATGGGCACCATAGCACAACTTGACTATTTGATATTATTCTGGAAGCCAAGTACTGTATTAACAGGTTGTCATCACTGATCACTTTCAAAACCATCTATTATCTAAAAACAGCCGAACTACGACCTAGGCCTACAATATTTATCAGCCCACCTCTTGTATGATCTCTCACGATCAACAATCATAGCGCCTAAATCTACCGTATGGGACGCCGTCTAGGAGATTGTTTTAATAGTGTTTAAAAAATCTGTTTTGTCAATAGAATTGTTTTTGTCCACTCATAGTTAATACAGGCTTAATTATGTGGATAACAAAATGATTATGTGATACAGTAAGGTACATGGTTGTTTATAATTATAAATGTATCCACATATGCCTTTTTAATAACAATGTCTCAAATGGTACCACATATACTGCTGTCTCTTATACACATCTAGATGTGTATAAGAGACAGATATTAGACGTTATACGTACAGTAAATTGGTGGCGCTATACAACTAATTGGTTTACGATGGTCATGATGCTAACACGTGGTGTTTTGACATAATTTTACCGCGAGTGGTACAACTGTGTCATAATTACTACGCGTAGTACGCGTACTACGCGTAGTAATTATGACACAGTTGAACCGCCATAGTACTCACTCGAGTCAATCCGAGATGGCCCGAGTGAAGTTTCATGCAAATGTTTCGTACGGGGAAAAAAATCGCGGTCTGGACAAAGTTTGTGCATTATAAAAAGAGAAGGGCGCCGCGTACGTCTGGACTAATTTCCGCCTCACCCTATGCAAGTGCTTGTACAGTATTTCTTTTCTAGTATCTTTCACACGTACGAAAGCTAGAAATTACGGTGTTTTTTGGTTCCTGATACTGTTTTCTCAAATTTCCATTCTTTTTCAGTCATTTTAGGGCCAATAACCATACCATATCAAACATACGAATCCGTGTGCTCGTTTGTGTCGACATTGGCCTACATGTCCATGTCTTTAAATGCCTGGTTTGATTCTGAAACCAACAGCTTCTTCTTTTCATGATCAATCATTCCAATCATCAAAATAACAATCATCAGATTACTCTCGGATCCTGCGTATCACCCAATTCGTCGGTGACGAATAGTCTAGTTC